GAATCCTGACAAGACAGAAGTACTGTTTTTGGGGGGACAGGGGGTGGGCAGGTGTGGGGGACTCCCTGTTCCTGAATGGAGTAACTGTGCCCCTGAAGGAACAGGTGCGCAGCCTGGGAGTCATTTTGGACTCGCAGCTGTCCATGGAGACACAGGTCTGTTCTGTGTCCAGGACAGCTACCTACCAGTTCCATCTGGTATGCAAGCTGAGACCCTACCTGCCCGCGGACTGTCTTACCAGAGGGGGTTACTTTTGAAGGTGACTCGGATACTACAACTAATCCAGAATGCGGCAGTTAGACTGGTAACTGGGAGTCCTGAAAAACCTACATTGGCTCCCAGTATGTTTCCGAGCACAATTCAAAGTGTTGGTGCTGACCTTTAAAGCCCTAAATGGCCTCGGCCCAGTATACCTGAAGGAGCATCTCCACCTCTATCGTTTAGTCCAGACGCTGAGGTCCAGCTCCGAGGGCTTTCTGGTGGTTCCCTCACTGTGAGAAGTGAGGTTACAGGGAACCAGCCAGAGGGCCTTCTCAGTAGTGGTGCCCGCCCTGTGGAACGCCCTCCCATCAGATGTCAAGGAAATAAACAACCATCTGACTTTTCGAAGACATCTGAAGGCAGCCCTGTTTAGGGAAGTTTTTAATGTTTGGTGTTTTATCATGTTTTTAATATTCTGTTGGGAGCCGCCCAGAGTGGCTGGGGAAACCCAGTCAGATGGGAAGGGTATAAATAATAAAAATATTATTATTATTATTATTATTATTATTATTATTATTATTATTATTATTGAGTCTGGTGAGAACTTTCAGAAAATGTAAGGCTTGTTTCCAAATGTTCACCAAGAAAGCTTGTCTATACTGAGCTTGATCTGAGTCATGCCACGGTGAGCTCCCCAACCACCAATTTTGAATGTGCACCGATTACATTGCAAATGCGAACAAGTATGTAAAAAGATACATTCCTGGACACCTAAAAGCAGATTTATTCCATGGATAGGATTTGGAATTAAATGCAAAAAAAAAAAAATTGCAAGAAAAATATTGTTCTTCCCTTTTCTGTCCATTATTAACTTGCTAACTTGTAGCAAAACTCTATCCTCATGTGGTCACCTTATTCCATTGTGCTTTGTTTCTTTAAAATAAATGAACTGAGGCTGCAATCCTGAACACACACTGACTAGGGAGTAGGGCCCAGCAGGTCTTACTTCTGAGTAAGCATGCTTACGATTGCAACGTCACTCAGTGCCGCATAAATGCAGGCGAAATTTAGAATGCTGCATTAATGCACTAATTAATGAGCTCCGGGGACGGAGCAAATTAAAACTATTTTTCAACGACTGTTTAACTCACGAAGGGGAAACTGCAGTAGATATAAAAGATGATGCTACCTAGGAAAGGCAGCTGGAAACTTGGCAAGCCCACATTTAGAGGTTTCATTTTTCATTGCTTTTTCTGCAGAGTTTCAATTCTTGCAGAATGAATCAGCCTATAAAGTGTTGGGTAGAAACCTCAGTATTCATTATTTGCTAGGTACATTTCCTCTTGTTTCTTGATGAGAACAACACTTTTATCATTAAGTTAATGTTAAGGAGGACTCTTAGTTTCCCCCATTGCAGTTCCAATCAGGAGTGCTTCCAGATTTGAATGGGCTGTCCAAGCAAAGGGCCAGCAACTTCAGAATTCTTCTGCGGATTTACCACTGTGAGAACCGTCCGTCCCCCGCCCCTACCCCATTTACAATCTGGAAACACAATATGGAAACACGGTGTTGTTCTATGACAACATGGGGAATTTAAAGGGGGGGGTGTTATTTAACCACCTAGTAGCACTGGAGGAGGGACACAGGTGGCGCTGTGGGCTAAACCACAGAGCCTAGGACTTGCCGATCAGAAGGTCGGCGGTTCGAATCCCTGCGATGGGGTGAGCTCCCGTTCCCTGCTCCTGCCAACCTAGCAGTTCAAAAGCACGTCAAAGTGCAAGTAGATAAATAGGTACTGCTCCAGCGGGAAGGTAAACGGTGTTTCCGTGTGCTGCTCTGGTTCTCCAGAAGCGGCTTAGTCATGCTGGCCACATGACCCGGAAGCTGTATGCCAGCTCCCTCGGCCAGTAAAGCGAGATGAGTGCCGCAACCCCAGAGTCGGCCACGACTGGACCTAATGGTCAGGGGTCCCTTTACCTTTACCTAGCACTGGAGGAACAGGGGTGCGGGGGGGGCGCACCGCCCCCGGCGGCACGATCCCAGTGGGGTGCCATCACGGCTGCTCCCCCTGCAGGCAGCGTGCCATGCCCCCGGGATGTGTGCCAGCCACACCCACGCCTGCTCTCCACCCCCACCAGAGCTTGAAGCTCCGCCACTGCCTAGTAGCCACCTGCTGCTAAATCAAAACTAAGCTCTGGAATGTGGTGGGAGAGAAAGAAGATGGACCCAGTCCAGTGAAAGCAATAGCACTCATGGGCCCTTAGCAGTTGTCTGAGTATGCTGAATGCATGATTCCCCAAAAATGCATTGTTTGCTGTAATAAAATATTGCAACTTTCTCTTACCGCTCATTTCCCCTGAATAAGGGATCCTTGCTGTGATCTTGCTACGTGCAGGTGGATCACCCAGCTAAGCTGAGCAGCTGCTATGCAACACTCCGCTGGGTATGCCATGTCTGATTGCAGACAGAGGTCAGAAACATACCTAAAAGAAAAGACAGATCTTCAGGCACCATAGGACACAGAACACACTTTGCTGTGCAAAGTCTTGCTGCAAGGAAGTAATTTCAGGATGATTGCATGGCAACCACATTTTTAGCATGGGGTTTTATTTATGTCACGGGACACGTGCGATGTAAAAACTCATATTCCTTCTCAACAGGAGGGTGAGCTGACTGTAACATATCTCACCACGCTGATCACCAGGGTTCATTTGGCTGATAGGGCTGGCTAGGCATATGTCATCATCCTCATCACTCCATGTACATCTATCTCGAAGTTGCATGCTTTGTGGAAGAGGATGGCCATCTCATACAGTGGTGCCCCGCAAGACGAATGCCTCGCAAGACAAAAAACTCGCTAGACGAAAGGGTTTTTCGTTTTTTGAGGTGCTTCGCAAGACAAATTTCCCTATGGGCTTGCTTCGCAAGACGAAAACGTCTTGCGAGTTCTTGCGAGTTTGTTTCCTTTTTCTTAAAGCCGCTAAGCCGTTAATAGCCGCTAAGCCGCTAATAGCCGTGCTTCGCAAGACGAAAAAACCACAAGATGAAGGGACTCGCGGAACGGATTAATTTCGTCTTGCGAGGCACCACTGTATAGAGTTCCAGGGTATTTGGCAGCTGCTAGAACATGGGTTGGCAAGGTTTACCTCGCCTGGGCTGGTTCACTCCAGTGGAGAGCCCTCTGTGGACCAGATTGCGAGTGTGCGAGCGATTTCTGGCGTCTGCGCAGATGTGAATTCCGGTGCCGCAGAAGCTAGTCGCCGTGCCAGTTTAGCGCAATGCGCAGGGACTTGCCTAGTGGGTGGCACAGTTCAGGGGCAGCTTGTGGGCCGGTTAAATGACGGCCGTGGGCCGCTTGTGGCCCATGGGCCTTAGGCTGCAGACCCCTGTGCTAGAACCTCCATGCAAGTTCATATATTCCTCCTCTTACATTATAAATTTCTCACTAGAGAGTTTGACTCATCTGTATGTGTTTTTTAAAGTGATATTTTAAATAATTTTTGATAATGATTTTTAATTTCATTTATTATTTCTATTTTATTACAGAGATCCCAGAAGATCCAGTCATTGCAGAAGAGTATTATAATGATGCATTCGATTCATGCTCAGAAACAAGTGAGGAGGAGGAGGAGGAGGAGGAGGAGGAGGAGGAAGAAGAGATAGAAGTTGAAGAGATGGTCACATCACAGACTGTGTGTCAAACAAATCGGCAGGTATACACTTGCTTTTCAACTGCCCGTTGAACATAGACTGTTAAGACGGCACTAAGTAAACATGCAGTGGTACCTTGGTTTAAGAACAGCTTAGTTTATGAACAACTTGGATTCAAGAACACTGCAAACCCAGAAGTAGGTGTTTTGGTTTGTGAACTTTGCCTTGGAAGCAGAACATGTTCCGCTTCCTGCCGAGTGTGTTCCATTTGTAAATTGAGTCCCCTGCTGCTATGGGAAAGCATGCCTTGGTTTAAGAATGCTTTGGTTTAAGAACGGACTTCTGGAACGGATTAAGTTTGTAAACCAAGGTACCACTGTTTTGAAAACTCCCCAATGTAGGCTGCAACATACATATGGTTCCTCACTTTTATTACTGCAACTTGTATTCCCTCCCCCTTCCTAATCCAAACTTTTCCTTTGATTTCCAAGTAGAATGTAAAGGTATTATATAATCACAAGTGGCAGTTAATTGTGTTTTGAACAGGATTGGCTGCGATTCAGTATTTCCAAAGGCATCCAATATAAAATAGAATTTTGAACAATACAGAGTTAAATACGGGACTGGCAGTCAGACTGGGACAGAGTGACATTTTGTCAAGCCTTCACGGTTCACATTTTGTCATGTCTTTGTGGCTCACATTTCTGTGACAAGAAAAATTAGGGGAGAAATGGATGTGGTTTTATTGACACCTCTGCCAGAATTTGATTCTGCTGTTGGTGCCTGTTAGTTTTCCACCCAGTGCACACACATAAATTTCTCTGTCATTAATGGATGAAGCAACTATACAATCAGGCGAGAGCTATACAACCCTGGCACATTCACATCTAGCACCTTATCAATAAAACAAGACAGTCTCATCACCTTTCCCTTATGTCAGCATATTTGATCTTTTCCTTCTTCTAAATCTCCATCCTTCACCATCAAACAAACCCTTGTTTTCAGCTTTGTAAACTGAAAACACTGCAGCCTGAGCCAAAAATGATCACCAGTGATGAGACAGGCTAGATGCTACTAGGGGGTGTGTGTTAAAGTTTTCTCTCCATACAATCACAATTTAGAAGTGGCTGCTTACCCAGAATTGGGTGAAAGGGTGGTGAAATAAAAGTCTCTGGTCTTCCCTGAAATCGCTTACGTTTCTTTCATTCCCTTCAGCTTCTGGTTCATCCTTTGGAGACTGAATCTGTTCAAATCTGTCTCTATGATAACGGCCCCTGGCCATCACAGTATGTTAAGCACTGGTTTCTCCTTGAACTGAATAGACAATGTTAATAGCAGCAGGGCAGAGCAAGGTTTATGGATGAACATAGAAATAATATTGGTGCAGAAAGACCATATTAACTACCTAGAGCAGCCAAACAATGCTTATCTAACCCCTGAGCAGAATGAATATCCGCTGTGCATATCTAGGAGGCATAGTTCTTCTATACCAATGGTAAAAAGGTAAAGGGACCCCTGACCATTAGGTCCAGTCGTGACCGACTCTGGGGTTGCAGCACTCATCTCGCTTTATTGGCTGAGGGAGCCAGCGTACAGCTTACGGGTCATGTGGCCAGCATGACTAAGCCGCTTCTGGCGAACCAGAGCAGTGCACGGAAACGCTGTTTACCTTCCCGCCGGAGCGGTACCTGTTTATCTACTTGCACTTTGACGTGCTTTCGAACTGCTAGGTGGGCAGGAGCAGGGACTGAGCAACGGGAGCTCACCCTGTCACGGGGATTCGAACCGCCGACCTTCTGATTGGCAAGTTCTAGGCTCTGTGGTTTAACCCACAGCGCCACCGCGTCCCCTGTACCAATGGACTGGGACTCAAAACAAATTTGTTGGCATAGACCACATTCTCCTATCTCACAGGACTGGCAAAAGATTTAAAACAGTGGTGTACAGTGATTTCTGATGATTGTAACGTTTGCCTCTTAGCATTTCTCTCTCTCTCTAACAAATACTGCTCATATGGTGATGTTCCCAAGCCCAAGGTCTCTTTGTTTTCCTTCTGACTACAGGACAGTGATGTTGAAGCAATGGTCAGGTACATGGAGAACATCCTAAACACCAGCTGTCTAGGTAAGATGATGTGCCCTCAATTTAGGAACAGTTTGATAACAATACTGAACATTGAATTGATTTTTCTTTCTCTCCACGACACTCAGAAGACCCATAAAAACAAATGGTGCTTCTTCTGTCAACCTTTACAGACCACACATAAGTGTCTTTCCTTTGAAAGAAAAGCTCATTTCCAATAACTTCAGCTCCAAAACTAGCATTGGAATCTTTTTGAGTCTGCAAGCTTAACAGAAAGAATACTGATCATAAGGAATATTTGATTTTAGACTAGTATTATTATGAATTTCTTTTATTTATTTCATTATTATTATTTTTTGCTTTTCTATATTTAGTATGTGGTGCACAACAACAAAGTTAAAAATGTGACATTAGAAACCATTAAAAAAGAATAATTAGATTCATGGGTAGGAAAAACTTGATTAAAATAAAATTTTACCATTTATCTTTCATCACATTAAGGTCATACTCAATTGATTCCAATGGATATTAGCATATGTTGCCTTGAAAGAAAAAAAACATTAAAGTCAATTCATTTGGAATTAATTTGGGATTGGATACGATCCATCACACGCTTTTAATATATCACATTTCCCCATAGACAAGTTTGTAACAAGTGTAGATTTAAATGTGCAGGACTTAACTCCTAAATTCCTGCCTATGTTGTTTAGCTGTGTGTTTAGTCACTATATTTTTACTTAATATATATATTATTTTACTGTATACATATTACTTAATGTATTTACTTAATAAATTGACTGCAGTCCATGAAAACGTATGCCATAATAATTGTGTTAATTTTTCAACTCAAGATTAGCAAAACTTTGTTGCTTTTGCTGCAAAAAACTGGCATAGCTATCCCTCTGGAAGCTGCATGGTTCAGTTCCTCTAGATATGCTGGCAATTGCCTATATTCCGTTAGGGATTATTGCTGTGATGTCGATGGCCTTAATAACACATGCTACATTTTATCCTCATAGATATGTTTATGGAGTATGAACCAATGCCAGATAAGGGCTCCTTCTATACTGAGTAGAACCTACTTCTACATGCAATGATGAAACAAAGCTATAGGAAACCTGTGGCATCAGATGATCAGCAGTAGGTTTCAAAGGAGCATGTAAACAAACCAACATGCTTGTTGGTCCTGTCCCCAGTCTCCACTTGTATAGCCAAAGCTGTGAACACAGCCTTCACTTATACAACTTGTATGCACAGAGGCTTTGTTCAGAACTTTGGTTGAATGTATAAAGGTTGGGGATGGAGCCAACATGGACATTAATCCCACTCATCCATGCCAATGCAGTCATATCCCTAGATAGGATGCCTAAATTAGCTAAAAAAAGCTATTTCCTCACTGAAAGTACATGAGTAGGTTTGCCATATTTCAAAAACTAAAAACCAGGACCCCCCAAAAAGCTGTTGAGCTTTTCCTTTTTTTACAAAAAAACCCTACAATTTTCAATTGACTTGCCTAAGACCCAGGACAAATCGCCACCTTTCAGAAATTCTCCCTGAACGTCATGAGGCCACCAACTTGCAGAAGCACATCAGGCCTGGGGCTGATCAGTGCTTAGATGTGACTTCTGGGAAACAGAAACACCCCACATTTGGTTCTATGATGCAAGAGAAATGGGATATACATGTAAGGGCAGAAGGAAATCATGAGTCTAGTTTAGCAGTATTGGACCTTGAGTGGGCTTCTCTAGCTCCAACATGCTATCCACCCAGTGCTATTTTTCTAGAAAAAGAGCTGCTGGAACCATGAATGCCTGCTTTGTTCTCTTATAACAGCAGTGGCACCCACCTGAGAGGTGCTGGAACTCAGTTCCGGCTGAGAAAAAGCCCTAATACCTCCTCAGGTGGTACTTAAGTTTATTGTTGTTGTTTAGTTGTGTCCGACTCTTTGTGACCCCCTGGACCAGAGCACGCCAGGCACTCCTGTCTTCCACTGCCTCCTGCAGTTTGGTCAAACTCATGCTGGTAGCTTCGAGAACACTGTCCAACCATCTCGTCCTCTGTCGTCCCCTTCTCCTTGTGCCTTCCATCTTTCCCAACATCAGGGTCTTTTCCAGGGAGTCTTCTCTTCTCATGAGGTGGCCAAAGTATTGGAGCCTCAGCTTCACGATCTGTCCTTCCAGTGAGCACTCAGGGCTGATTTCCTTAAGGATGGATAGGTTGGATCTTCTTGCAGTCCATGGGACTCTCAAGAGTCTCCTCCAGCACCATAATTCAAAAGCATCAATTCTTCGGTGATCAGCCTTCTTTAGGGTCTAGCTCTCACTTCCATACATCACTTCTGGAGAAAACCTTTAACTATATGGACCTTTGTCGGCAAGGTGATGTCTCTGCTTTTGAAGATGCTGTCTAGGTTTGTCATTGCTTTTCTCCCAAGAAGCAGGCGTTTTTTAATTTCATGGCTGCTGTCACCATCTGCAGTGATCCTGGAGCCCAAGAAAGTAAAATCTCTCACTACCTCCATTTCTTCCCCTTCTATTTGCCAGGAGGCCATGATCTTACTTGAGTTTCTAAGAGAACTCAAATCCACTTCTGCCCAGGCTTAGAAGTGGAGTTAAACCGAGCATGTTCTTTTCTGATCCAGCTGATGTGTACACATTTGCATTGCACATTTGGAGGGTGGATTTTTGTGTGTGCAATTGGGAGTTTTGTAAATGCAAAGGCTCCAGATCTATCTATCAGGAATAGGAAGTAGGCAAGAGGGAGATATTAAACAAGTAGATAAACAAACAAGTAAATTGAGTGAGAAGCCACCTTGGAAATTAAGGGGTCTATAAATCAATACTTTAATAATTAAGTATGCTGGTTTAATTTGCTTTTTATTTTTATGGAAATCCCAATTTCTTTGATTTTCATTTGGTTTTGGGGGGGGTTATTTCGATAATGAAAAAGGAATGTGTCCATTTCCAATTTGCCACTAATTTGCATACAGTCCCATGGGAGTTAAAGCATTCAGATACAAAATGAAAAAGCTGCAAAGGGTGCTTGTAGCCATTTAACACCAACTGAGTATATTGCCCCCTTCATTATATGACTTAATTAAATAAGAGATTATAGCTTTAGGCCTGCAATGTAGACACTGCATCATCAGGAGCCAAGAAAAGATGTGATACCAACAGAAAAAACTGGAGTGGTTTTTTGGTAGCCATGTGTTAAATATTTGTGCCAGTGTATCTCCCTGAACACTGGATCACAGTCTAGTTAGAACAGGGGTAGCTATTATCGTGTCCAGGAGTGACCCAAGACATTTTGGCACCTGAAGCGAACCACAAAATGGCATCCCTCTCCCTGCCAGGGAAGTAGGGCTGGGTGAATATCTAAATCAGGAACAAGGCAGGGAGGGAAGAAAGATCGACATCAGGCACTGCTGCCCCTGTAGATCCTGCTGCCTGAGGCAGTTGCTTCACCTTGCCCTATGGGTGGACCGGCCCTGGTGGTGTGATCCAGATGTTGTTGGCCAACAGTCTGGGATTATTGGAGTCTACTCAACACCTAGAGCGCATCACATTATTTAACCATGGGTTGGAGTGTCAGACTAGGACAAGAGCGAGCCAGGTTCAAATTCTTGGTTAGCTATGAAGCTCTCTGGGTGACTGGGCCAGTCACTCTCTCACAGCCTGATCTACCACACAGGGTTGTTAGGAGGAAAAAATGGAGGGGAGGGAAGAGCTCATTGGAGGATAGGCAGGATATAAATAAACAATACCAATGTAACATCCGGGGATATCTTGTTTTCTGTTAACTGAACAATGTGTTTGTGACATAGTGGGGAGTGCCAAGACCAATCAATGCTCCTTCCTGGAGCTCTGTATCCTTTCTCTAAAATACTTTAAAGCATTTTCATTACGATCTTTCTACATAGTTAAAAAGCCTATCTTGCTTTAGATGTCATATTATTGGTCAGATAGCATCTCTCTCTCAAAATACCATTTCCAGAACTTCTGGACTTTTGTACATTAAAGTTAAAGCATTCTACTTGCCAGTGAGAATCATAGCCTCCGATTAAAGCGCAAACATAGTCCTTTTTTGGCTACAAATTTTTGATATGCCAGCAACCTGTACATATGGTGAGCCATCACACATATTAAATATGTAGTTATTTTCTGACACGACAGTTTGTGACATTGGACTGGTGCTTAGGTTTAGCATGCCACATGCTAAACTTTGATTTTCTAGTGTTAAACCTCCATCCTCGCCCTCCCGTACTTCATTTATGATTTATCCATGTATTAGCTGATAAGAACAGCCTTCAAACAAAAGGAACATTGCATTTGGTGTGTGGGAGGCTTAAATGGTGTGCTTGCGCTGTGTTGTGTCATGTGCGTAAAGCAGTTGGTGGAATTTAAAAAGATCAATGTTCAGTTCATTAACATTAATGAATGCTAATGTTCATTAAACATTTATGGATTGCAAGTTGCAAAACGATGCAATGTAGCTATAATGAATGGCCCAATGTGACTGTTTTTGTATCTTCTACAGTGCTCAAGTTATGTAACAATGGGATGTAACGCTTTGTGTAGAAGCTTATCTTGTCCCCACTAATTTTACTATACAAACGTTTTCAAAAGTGATCTTGCGAGCAGAGCGCAGAGGCAATGCACAATGAAGGTGATCCATTTTATAGTCACATAATGTCTCCACAAGAGTATAAATTTACATGAATTGGAAAGAGTTTTGCAGTATTAAGCAAGAACTATTTTTGGCCTTCATTTTGCTGATGAAACATCTCGAGCCGATCAAAAACGTTTTGTTGTCCCCAGCGTTCTTTGAGAACAAATCTGTGCTACCCAAAGTGTACTTCTGAAGAAGTGTTGCTGTTGAATCAGCTTTTGAATTTATGCAGAAAAGAGCTCACAGATTTAGCTGCCAGCAGTTACTATAAAAGCAGTATTAACACACCAGCAATACAGCAGCCTCATGTGGTTAGAAAGTTGCAACACTTGGGTCGATGTCCGGGGCTAGGTTCAGTGTCTAGGGGTTATTCTTCTTTTATTGAGTTCTGGCTCATGCCTCCACCCAGGAAACCTGGCACTCCAGTTTGGATGTCAAAACAGCAGTCATTCAACAACACACTCTCCTAGGATGTATGTTCCAGCAGAAAGGCTGCAACAGCAACTGGGGTGCATTGCAATAAGGAATTCCAACCAGCAGAAAACAGCAGTGAAGCTCCTCCAGCTCCAAGCCAATAGGAAGCACTAAACCAAGTCCAAGATACTTGGGTAGCCCTATGCTTCCCCTCCTAGGTATGTTTTCATCAAATAGTGATTCAGAAAGTAAAGGTAAAGGGACCCCTGACCATTAGGTCCATTAGGCCGGCTCTGGGGTTGCGGCACTCATCTCGCTTTATTGGCCGAAGGAGCCGGCGTACAGCTTCCGGGTCATGTGGCCAGCATGACGAAGCCGCTTCTGGCAAACCAGAGCAGCGCACGGAAACGCCGTTTATCTTCCCGCCAGAGCAGTACCTATTTATCTACTTGCACTTTGACGTGCTTTCAAACTGCTAGGTTGGCAGGAGCAGGGACCAAGCAACATGAGCTCACCCCGTCACGGGGATTCGAACCGCCGACCTTCTGATCGGCAAGTCCTAAGCTCTGTGGTTTAACCCACAGCGCCACCCACGTCCCTCATTCAGAAAGTAAAGCCTAGCAATTCCATGTTTTGAGCATTCAGTAGGAGAGTGTTAAAGGTAAAGGGACCCCTGACCATTAGGTCCAGCCGCGGACGACTCTGAGGTTGCAGCACTTTACTGGCTGAGGGAGCTGGCATACAGCTTCTGGGTCATGTGGCCAGCATGACTAAGCCGCTTCTGGCGAAACCAGAGCAGCGCATGGAAATGCTGTTTACCTTCCCGCCGGAGCGGTACCTATTTATCTACTTGCACTTTGACGTGCTTTCAAACTGCTAGGTGGGCAGGAGCTGGGACCGAACAATGGGAGCTCACCACATCGCGGGGATTCGAAGTTCCCTCCCTCTCCTTCACCAAGAGAAAAGTGATTCCAGTCTCTCCCTGTTGTCACTTCTACTTAAGGGCAAACCAGCACTCTTGCCAAGGCTATAGCTAACTGTCAAGATGGCAAAAGTGGCCCAGGCACCCTTCTGTTTCTTAATATATTCCAACAGTTACAGCAAATCATGTGCAACTCTATCCAACATGCAGAAGGATGTGGCATGCTAGGCTCAGGTGCTATGTTTTCTCTGCACTTTCTGCTTCCGCTGTGTGGTGGAGTGTATTCTTTTCTCTACAGCTTGACAATAGAATAGAAAGGCGAGCACATGTGTGACAGTCTCTATTTCTGATGTATATGCTTTATAAAATAAAGCTACAATATTACAAAAAGGGGGCAGGGGTTAAGGAAGAGCTGCAGAAACTAATCAAGGTCTATGAACAGAGCGCAACCCAAATCCCCACGGTGCTTGTAGAAATCCGTTCCAAGACTTCACACGCAACCCATCTCTGTAAAGCTTCATAACAAGGAATGAGCTGGTTTCTAACTTTATAAACTGAGCTAAATTCTTTGTGCAAGATACATACGTTACTGGAGAGGGCAATAATGTTGCAACCAGGAACAGGTTTTGTTGATCCAATAGCCAGCGCAAAGGCAAAAACCTAATAAAATAAAAAAAATGGGTTATTTAGTCCAACTTTCCAGAAAAGCTGAGAAGGATGCCTTTAATAACATCTCACGTTAAGGGAATCTGAAGTATTATAGGGGTAAAAATACTTGGGGCATTGCTAGAATAAGAGTGTGCAGACTACGCAGATCACAGCGACACATCCTGCAAATATATATTATTTATATTTTGCCATTAAGTTAAGACATATCATGTCCATGGTGGACTAAAACAACAACAACAACATGTAGCTTAAGGTTGGTTTTGATCCGTATTTGGACTCTTAAGCATACACACATATGTCTTTAAAGGTGATGGGAAGATGAAGTTTAACCTTTTAACTGGTCAAAGGTATTTGTTTACTTGTAGCATAGCTGCTTTTCCCACACTCCTCATGCACCAGTGGAACTTCACCAATCTTTGTAGTTTCTAGTAAAATCCTCTGACTGCTACTTCTCCAACTGTGCTTTCAATATTTGATGAAATTTGAAAAACTGAAAAATAAAATAATAACAAAAACCCAAATTTGCTTCTTTGTGCAGTTTCTCCTATTGTTATAAGAGTTCCCCCCACAAAAACATCTTTTACAAGACATGGTGTAGATCTGGCATGTGCTATCATACTGAAACCGTCGCTGTCCCTGCTGAACCAAGTTGCCTTAATGTGTATTTAATAAGCTAATTCGTCTTTAATCAAGGCAGCGCTTCCCTGTGACAAAGGTGAATTGCTCGCCTTTTCTTGATTGTCCTTGAATAGTGCTATGGATCTGTAGTGATGCTGAGAGGAGCAAGGTGAATGAGGTTGTCCATCTCTGCATTGATCTGTAGGCACTGGGACTGTCACCAGAGCGACTCCGCTGGGACCCGAACGATCAGGAGTGCTGAGCGGCACCACGGCTGCAACCAAGCTGAGGAGCATGAGGGAGTAAGTTGCCTTTTTAGAGATGCTAGTTTTTGCATGCATATAACAAAAAAAACAACTTTGATTCCAGAATATTAAGATTACAACCACATCTTTTCCAGCAGCAGTTACGTATTACTTGAGGATGTTTTCTCTCTTATTGTCTGTCATTTCTTTTGAAGTGAGACATCATCTTGTCGGTCTCTGCCTGTCTCTAAACTGGTAATTTTATCCTTTTGTGTTATTATCTCGGTGCAAATCTGATCAATCAGCTTTACATAGCCATGACCAAAACACTGCTTTTAAGGTTGCCTTCTCTCTTTTGACTGCGTGCAATCCTCCTTCTTTTGTATATAATTTTTATTTAATTTTCTGTTTTGTAATTTAAAACACTCATTTTACATCCTTAAAATATCAATGACTTCCCTTCTTCTCTTTCCATGGTTCATTTAAATATCACAGATCCCTGCATATTTTACAAAGCCTATACCATTCAGTATTCCATTATTGCATCCATCAAAACTTATTTACACTGTTGAATTTATCTTAACGCTGCCAGCGTTTTCAGCTGTACACAATTATTTCCCATATATTCAATAAAAGTTTTCCAATCTTCTCTAAACGTATGTTCTTCTTATTCTCTTAATCTGTATGTTATGTCTGCAAGTTGTGCATATTCTGTCAACTTAAGCTGTCATTCTTCTTTGGTTGGGACCTTGCTCATTTTCCATTTTTCGGCTAACAAAACATGGCCCACAGTAGTAGCATACATAAATAACCTTTTTTGACACCTGGGAATTTCAGTCTGAATTATACCCAACAGAAAGGACTCTGGGTTTTGGGGGGGAAAGTACTTTTAAACATTTTTTTCAATTCATTATGGATCATTTCCCAATACTTTTAACCTTTTACGAGTCCACCACATATGAAAAAAACGTTCCCTCCACCTCTTTGCATCTCCAGCACTTATCCAATTCAGTCTTATATATCTTAGCAAGGCTACTCGGAGTTAAATACCAGCTGCGTGCAATTCTATACACGTCTATTCAGAAGTATGCTCCATTGAGTTCAATTAACTTTCCCCCCAAGTAAGTGGGAATAGGACCAGGGCTTTCCCCACCCAGCCAGAACTCACCAAATCTGGTTCCAGAACCTCTCAGGTGGGCACCATTGCTATTAAAAGAGAACAAGGTGAGTTTTCTAGAAAAGCGTTTTCTCTTTTTCTAGAAAAGGGCGCTGAATAGGATTGCAGCTAGGCAGAGCAATCCTGTTGGGGAGAAGTAGATCTAAATCTGTGAGCCACATTTAAAAGCCTTTCAGAACATTGGCATAAGGCCGCTCCACTTTCCTGTGGGGGGGTGTTGCGGGCAGGCCACACGCTCTCCCCGTGCACAGCAGGGGTGTGGCAGTGCCCCCGCATCATAGGGGAGTCCCGGCCGCGTCATGCCCCCGGCCAACCAATCCAGTTGGCCAGGGGGCGTGGCTTACCGTATTTAAGCAGCCACGCAGGCCAGGGAAACTCCCTCTTGGTTCCTGCTTCCCCTACTGGTAGTTGACCCTTACTGGACTACCTGCATGGCAGGCAGGAGTCAGATATACAGTGGTACCTCAGGTTACATACGCTTCAGGTTACAGACTCTGCTAACTCAGAAATAGTACCTCGGGTTAAGAACTTTGCTTCAGGATGAGAACAGAAATCGTGCTCCGGCGGCCCGGCAGCAGCAGGAGGCCCCATTAGCTAAAGTGGTGCTTCAGGTTAAGAACAGTTTCAGGTTAAGAACGGACCTCCGGAACGAATTAAGTACGTAACCAGAGGTACCACTGTAGTCGGTTCAAGTCCAGTGCTTAAGCCAATACCACTCACATTCTGTAACCAATAAAGCTGTGGCCTTAATTAGCACATTAACCTAAAATACTGGTGTCCATGTGTTTTATTATTCAACAAATGGGGGGAGGGCTCAGGGCCTTGACACGCAATAGCCATTGGGAGGCAACATGAGCCGAGTCCTCTAAACTGCTGTTGGCAGCCTCCTGGCTGATTAATGGGAACTGAACTTTATTCTTGGGACTTATCTGTAGCTTCGTGATTTGGGCCCTTGTGTGTGCCTGACTACAGAATAACAAAACATGCATAATCGGCTTAGGCATTTATACCACTCACTTTCATTGATGGAATCAAGAGAAAAGGAGGAAAATGACTCTAAAAATGACTTTCTTTTACAAAGAAATCTAAGAATACATGCAATAAGCTCAGAGTTTAATGGCAGTGAACTGTATAGTGCAGTTTAAATATTCAAGAACATGTAGATGGGTACAATGGAAAAGCTTTCATGGACCAAAATGTAAGTAAATTAAAATTTTGCAGCACAGCAGTGACTGCTTCTCGTTCAGCCCCCAGTGTCTTCCGCTCAGCAGCGCACCAGGATCAGGTACAAGGCATCATCATTACCTGCTGAGTCTAAGTAAAATTGTCTTTCAGAAGCTGCAAAAGAAAGGCATTTTGTGATATTTTTGTTCTTCCACCATGAATGGCCGTGTTTCTTATTGCTTGAGATCCCGAAGGATTATGTATAGAAGACCCTTAGGCCAATGGCGTTGGCATCAAATGCCCATGTCTCTTAAAAATTCAGAAAGAAAGGTCATGTTGAAGTAATTGATTGAGCACGGCATGATCTTTAAGATTAGCTGACAGCTAGCTAAGAAAAAGTCTACCTTTCCGTAGCAAAGCTGTACATAGTCCATGTGAGTGCTTAGAATAATGTTGAGATTTTCTAAATATCTTCAATGTGCTCCTGTTGAGCTCAAAGGTTGTTTTACTATTGATTTCAGTGAGAACCCCCCAACCAGTTCTTGGGCATAAAATCTTTCCAATAACCACATTGAAATAAATCACTTTATGTACGTTCTCTTTCTATCAGCAAATTTCATAGTGTAACTTAAGTCTGTTTGCCCTCTTCAGGCAGGCAGCTTTGTGGGCAAGCATGGTGTCTTTCCTGCAAACTGGGCTATTGCCAGCCAGATCATAATCCTACCACAAAATTGGCCAACGGCAGCAGGAATCCAGGGGGCATTACCTGGGTGCGGTGCCAACTGACCAGTAGTGGTGCTTGAATGCCCAGAGGGGGGCTAGGGCCATACCACTCCTCCAACAGGGACTGCTTGGGGGATGCCCCAATTTGACATAGGTCACAGGACGTCCCCCCACCCTACTGCTGCTGGCTTGACCCTTAGAAATCACTTACCTCAATGCCTATGGCCAAACCTTTCACATCTGTAACCAATAAAGTTCTGGCCTTATTTGATTCCAAAACTCAATACAGTGGTACCTCTGGTTGCGAACGGGATCCGTTCCAGAGGCCCGTTCGCAACATGAAAATAACGCAACTACATCAGGAACAAGCGGGGTTGGGTGGAATAGAGATCTGCCATTAGGAACTAGAGGCGGGGGGTCAAATCAACCTTACCCAATGGCTGAAGTGGGAATCACAGCAGAACAATCCACAGTTTATTTCAACACACTAATTCATGTTTGTTCTGATGGCACAGAAAAACGGTCATCATTGCTGTCTATCAAACATATAAGCGTCTTTTCAACCTCAGGCTATTATTCTGGTGTTCTGCATTATTATTCCACTGTAATATGTAATTGATTTGACAGCAAATCTTTTTATCCTTGGTAGAAAATTATACTTCTAAACATATATTTTTCAGGAATGGGGTTTGGAGTGTGCGTGTAAGCTTCAGAAGAGGGAGCAGTCTTCTTTGCCTTCCCCTTGTTCTGTTCTTAAAAATTAGCTAGGCATTTATGTTGCAGGTGTCAGAAAAGAGCAAATGGCTTATACACACTATATACCAGGGGTGCCTCGCCTTTGGGGGGCTGGTGGGGAAAAACAATCCACGATCAGCCGGTGGAGGGGTGGTATTATTGTTATTATTAATAATAAAGTTTATATATCCTCAGAGGATCAACAGCACTGGCAGCTTCTCATAGCACTACCCTGTGCTGAGAGGACCAAAGTTGTGCCATGAGGCTGGAAGTGCCGCCATCTTTGTCCACGTTGCCTCTGATTCTCAACATAGTGTTGTTGCAGGGTA